TTTTCCCTCCTCATTTCTCCTTGTTCCTCCTGTTTCCCTTTCGTTCTTTATCTTGTCCTTTTCTTTTCTTTTCGACAGGGCCGAAGTCTTAGTTACCCTGGCTATCAGATTGCTTATGTTGGTTGGGGTAAGTAGACTTGTGATTGGATAAGGTGGAAAACTAGTGAAAACTAGTGTAAAATGCGTCGGTGTTTTCAGTAAAACAGTTGATAGATAGATAATTTATAACACCGTATGGCATGTAAAAATGAAACTGACGTTTCGGACGTTAGTCCTTCATCGGAGTGAAGGACTAACGTCCGAAACGTCAGTTTCATTTTTACATACCATACGGTGTTATAAATTATCTATCTATCAACTGTTTGTGATTGGATAATTTACTTGAAGAAATTGGGAAGCCATTTCAAGGTTACGGCATACCTTACCTTGGATGTGCTGTATGTCTGTGCGGTATGTTTTCCACCCATACAAAAACCGCTCTTAACAAAAGAGACTTCTCGATCTCATGAGCTCAGTTTTAAATATCCCACTTGGCTTAATTTCTTGGGCTATTAGCGCGCGTTGCATTCGAGCTACGGGTGCGATAAATTTGATAATGTCACTGACTATGAAATTTATATCTTTCTCTTCAGGATACATCATCTTGGCCTTTATCATGTTCTTATTTTCATTTAGTATTGGTTTCATTATACAATATGTCAGTTGGTCTACCCTGGAGGGTTTCATCAAGTCAATTCTGTAAGTAGGTGATCGGGGAAGGAAGGAAGAGGTGAAGGGGAGAGGGGGGGATGTGAGACGCAGGGAAAGGATTGGAAATGCCACCTAGCAGAGATAAGATGACTGAGGAAGGGAGAGGGGAAGGGAGAGGGAGAGAGGAAAGAAGAGACACAGGAAAAGGATTGGGAATATGACGCAACGCGAGCAGAGATAAGGCGACTGGGGAAGGGAAGGAGAGGAAGAGGGAGAGGGGAAAGGGGAGAGGCAGGGATAGGATTACGAATATCACGCAGCGCGAGCAGAGATGCGGATTGTTGCGGATGTCGCAAAGGGAGAGCAGAGAAGGGAAGACTGGAAAGGCGAGATGGCGTAGAATGTCAAGGGGCGAGGGAGGGMCGTAGAGGAGCATGGGAGGTGRATAGTTATTAAAAAGGAACTCACTTTTCAAGTCCCTTCTCTTACTAATTTCAACACAATTCTGATTTTCTACAGACCCATCTTTGTGGTTTCCATTTGCGTCTGGATCTTCCAATACTTGTTGGGTTGGTTAGTGTTCAGGGATCGTTGCTTTCCCGACTTCACCATCAATATCAATAACCAGTAAGTTACCCTTTGATTATGTTATCAGAATATTAGATTTCTTTTTGAATATGTAGCGTACATCATTAATAGTTCTAAAAACATGCCTTGAACCTAGAGACGACCAGGCTTTGATATACATAGGGTATACAACTGCTGCTGACAACAAGCATGTGTGTCGACATGTGTGACGTGTGACACGTGTGACGTCACATGTTGTAACAGCGCTCAGTTCCTGCAGAATAAGTGAATGCGTGTTTTCATATCATTGACCAAGAGCATGACGCATTCAAATGTAAAATCATTTTTTCTTTTTGCGCAGAACGTTGCTGAAGTGAATGTTGCATGGTTCTCCGTCTGTACACCGTTTCCTGGCAAAATTTACGCAATTGTTAACATATGACTGACATACGATTTGAKTTTTTTGTGCAATAGTTCAGACATTGACGTTTTTTTCTCACATCAATATTATTAATAACTGTATTAAAACGTTTGATCGTAATCATAATGATAATCATGATGATAATAGGGAGTTCTTATTAGCGCATTTCACAATTTTCTCAATAGTGCCTTACCTCACCTCATATAACCTCTGCGCATAAGGTCTTCTTGCTTTATTCTCAATGCGCTTTGCATTTACTTTAAGGGCTGCTTATTAAGGCACTATTAACTATTATTATTTTGTCTTTTTTAGCCGTCTCTACTGCGTGATGTCGTTCTTCTTTTTCTTCTTCAACATTTTGGTCGGATTTTTTTCCTCGATATTCCGWCTCTTGAAGAGCATGTTTCTTGGRGTTATATTCTTGTCACGCATCGATCGCACCCCTCTGATGGTGGGMTAYCACAAATGGGACCAAGGTGAGACTGCGTTACTCATYATTGTGTCACGTATTTCACTGAATGGAAAGCCTAGTTTKCTATGTTAAAAYACTTCTGTTGAATACTATTTAATCAACAATCGATTATCAATAGGTTACATGTCGTATATTGGTTTTCTCAACGTACTCAAGTCCTTCGGTCATCCTGTCATGTTGGTTTTCTGTCRACTACTCTTGGATCTGCGTCAAGCTGATTGCCACTTACTCGACGATGGTAAGTAACTTACACGATATGGATGTGTGCATGCACAAGTCGTTATCTTTTTCCTTTGAACCAAGTTT